GCTTGAGTTGGATTTGTTAGATATTATTGACACATAGGGAAAGGCCAATTTTTCCCCTCTACCCTCTCAAGCCCACTCTTTGTATAAGTCTAAGGTTAAAGTGAAATAAGATTAACATGAGAAAAAAGTACATATTATATTAAATTTTTTACATGTACATGAGAGTGTCACAAATAATGACCAGAGCAGACAGCTCTGCTCCTCTTAGACAAAGAAATGAGAAATCTGGGAAGGAAGGGAGAAGACAAAGCGTTGGTGCACAGGCAGGCAGTACGCAGCCGGCACGTGCTCGGGGCTGTTTGGAGAACCAGTGCGCAAGGGAGGCTGAGTGGCTGCGTGCGCGCCCAGAGCCGAGTGACCGTCCGTCCTGCTCTCGGGGAAAGAGGAGGCGGATGTCCTGTATCTCTGGCACAGGGCACTTTTCTCCTGGGAAATTTCATAGACACTTTTCAGGTAGAAAGAGGGAGATAAGAGCCCTTCCAACAACTGTTTCTCAAGTGCCCTCAGTTCAAAGTCATCAATACGCCAAAGTGGCATCTTTTATGGCATATTTGCCCTCTGAATTCCTTCAAGGGGCAGAGTGATGTCCATGCTTCAAGGCCTCGCCTTAAGGATGAAGCCGAGAGGAGGTCACTACAGGAGGGGTCTAGTCCAAAGATGTCACCCAAACGGATAGGGTGTCTAGGATGCTGCACCTGAGGGCTGTTCTCTGGCAAATGGTGGTTTAGCCTTTCCCCAGAAGAGGTGATGGACACCTCGTGTTTGGGGGGACTTTTCCAGGCCCCCAGGAAGACCAGGGCAGCCTCAGGGCCTGGCTGGGGGGCTGGCTGGGCTCAGTCTCCCATTGAGCTTTAGCCCCAGACAGGATGTGGAGCACCATGTGGATCCACATGTCCCCAGGGAGGAATGTCCTCTGTCTGGGGAGTGAAATGGATGTCCCACAGTGCTGACCTTGCCAGGGGCCTTTGTACAGAGCTTCTCTGGTCTGGACGCTGAGCCTGGTATGTGTGGATCATCCTGCTGAGCCCACCAGCAGTTCTCCCAGGGTCCCCTTCACAGAGGAGTGGACAGAGGCTTGGGCTGAGCAAGTAAGTCACCCAAAGCCGTCCAGTTCTCAGCCCACAGGATGTGCCCAGGGCGTCTGGTTCCTAAGCTGAGCTGTGCCCACCTGTCACCTTGTGGGCATCAGACACAGGGAGTGCCAACCATGGAGGCCAATGAGAGCAAGCAGGCCTCTCAGACCCAAACACCCCCTCAGGTCCTGATGGAGGGAAACTTCACACATGAAGCTGGGTCATTCTCTCAGCTGATGATGTGATTCTGTGTGTTTCCTCCATCAGCCCATTGATCCCTGGTCCCATTACAGAATTTCCAAGAAAAGTTCAGGTGGTGTGAGGGTGACCACTGTGTAGGTGAGGCAGGACTGAGAGGCTTCCTGGGAGAAGAGACTTTGAGAGTTAATCTCAGGAAATTCCCTGGCCCACTGGGAAGGCTATGAAAAGACCCAGGATTTGCTTGTCAAATCACAGGGCAGCAGGGTGAGGAACCCAGTCTGGGAAGGTGCCCGGCCTCTGTCTTTGGGGCTTCCTCGTCATCTGGCACTTGTGCTTCACACTCTCCTCCCCCTAGGCTGGCAACGTCTTCTTCTCTGCCATGTTATAGAAGGTGGCTGCCTTCCAAGTTTATCTATTTATAGTTCAATGTATCTGCATGGATAGTTCATCTATTTATAGGGATAGCAAAGACCCCCTTGTAGCTCTGATTTCTATCTTGAAGTTTCCAGGGAGAATATCTGATTATTCCAGAAGGCATCAAGCATCCACCCACAGCTGGATTGCTCATTGCTAGCAGGGCAGGCACACGGAGTACCAGCTGTGAAAGGGACCCATTCCTGCAGCACTGGGCCCAGTTTTCCAGGGGAACAGTCATTCCAAATGGCATCAGCAGTGTCACCTTTCCATATCTGAGGGGCCAGCTCTGTGTACCATCTTGATCTTGAACTTGAGTTTCTAGCATAACTTTGCTGAATATTTGAGGTATCCAGTAGGAAGTGGGTGGTTAATGAAAGGGAATAAGAGGCGGTGATGATAAAGTGAAAGTGACCAGTGGAGAAACTAAATCCAGCAGGGGAACGAGGAAGCTGGCTTAGCCCATCAGATAGTCTGGCTTTTGGGGACACTGTGTTGACAGAACATGGTTACCATGGGTGGCTGCTTCCTCCCCACTAGGGATAGGGGAAGCTCAGCCTAGGACCAGTAGTTCCATCTTATCAGTGAGGCCCAGATACAGTCATCATTCAGGACCTTTGTTTCTGGGGAGGTGACATTTAAGCTGAGATAAGGAACCAGCCATCTGGGGTTGGCAGGTGCGAAGGAGCTTCAGCGGTAGCAAACTGGGCTTATTCGTGAGACCAACAGAAGTCCAGTGGGGCTGGAGCTGGGGGGTGGTCAGAGGTAGGAACAGAGAAGAGGCCGGGGCCAGGCCAGGTTTTGTGGGCCAAACTTGAGAGTTTGGATTCTGTTTTAGGTGCAGTGGGAAGTGTGAAAGGTTTTTCATTAGTTTTCAGGGCTGCTGTAACAAACCGGGTGGTTTTGAATAAGAAAAACGTTTTGTCTCACAGTTCTGGAGATCAGAAGTACAAAATCAAAGTGTAGTCAAGGCCACGGTCCTCTGAAGGTAGCAGGGAAGAATCGCTTCCAGGACTCTCTCCTAACTTCTGTAGATTTGGGATTCCTTTGCTTATACATGGCCGTCTTCTCTCTGTATTTCCTTCCCCATGTGTCTGTGCCCAAATTGCCCCTTTTTATATGTGGACATAGTGAATTAGGACCCCCCTCCCATGACCTTATTTTAATTTGATTACCTGTATAAAAACCCTGTCTCCAAATCAGGTCCTGCCCTGAGGTGCTGGGTTAAAACTTAAGATAAAAAAATATCTTTTTGTGGGTACAGTTCAATCTATAACTGTTTTAAACAGAGAAGTGACATGACCTATGTCTAACAATATCACTCTGGCTGCTGGAGGGATTGTGTATCATAAGAGAGTCCTTCAATAAGGCTCTCGCATTAGTCCAGGCAAGAGAGAATGATGGCTCAGCCAAGAGGTAGCTATGGAGATGGAAAGAAATGGCTACAGAGGTGGCCTTGACCTAGACCTATGGGATGGGTAGGACATGGGGAGGCCAGATTGAACCCAATAGTACTAATAAAAGAGATTCAGATGTTATAAACTCTTAGCTAATATGAAGTAATTATGAAGTAGTTAGTAAACTTCACCTAATTAGCTATCTTTAATGTTTCCCATGCATTATCTCATTTAATCCCCCAACATCTTGGTGAGTTAGACACATTACTGCTCCTATTAACAGACAAGGAGCCTGAAGCTGAGCTACGTCCAGTAACTTGACTGAGATTCTACACTCACCTCGTAATGGAACAGTGATTTCTACCCGCATCTGCCCCCTGCCACAAACCTCTCAGAATGCTATTTCCGAGCTTGCTCTGACTACCTGTTTGCTGAAACTGGGTATTTATGGTGCAAAGAGGAAGAAGGTTGACTCGTAGCTAGTATTATTTTTAGGAGTACTTGTTTCATTCTTCAGCTAGTTTATAAGCTTGTTGAAGGTTAGGAATATAAATTTCACTTCATTACAATGATGCAATTATTTATTGAGTTCATACGGTGTGTTAGGCATTAGGGGCAGCAGAATGATTAAGTGAGGCCTGCTCACTGGGGTCACACAAATGGCTCATCATTCAGTAGGTTCTACAGGAGGACAGATATGGGTAAAGGTGAAGCCAATGGTGAGATGGAGGAAGAAAAGTCAGGTGCTGTGCAATCCCGGAGGAGGGCAGTGGGCCCAGTCTAGGGGTGGATGTTAGCAGGAAGCGCACAGCATCCCCTTAGGAAATGGAGTTGAAAGTCTAAATATGTCCAAAGTGCTCTTGTTTCTCATGCTGATACCCAAGGCTTTCTAATTCCACCAGAGCCTTATCTACTGAGCATAGGACTCTTGAAGGACTTTGGTCCACTTACCTCTATTAAATATTGTCATCTAAGTATATTTATGTAACTCCAAGTAGGCACTTAGGATAAATAGGTACTTGATCCAGAGATTTTTTCAGAAACCTTTAAAACTTCAAATCTGGATCTAAGTTCATTATGTATGCTTCTTCAAGGGTGGCATGCACTTGCAAGTGCCTTGTTAACTGGGTTATTTCCCGACTGTCTGTGGAGCTGGGACTCTGTGATAAACTGATTGCAGCCGGAGTTCCAACCAGCTGCCTCCCTGGGTTCATGCCGTTTGCGGTATGACTTCACAATTCCTCCCATCAAGAGATGAAGTCCATTTGCTGACGCTTGTGTCTGGACTGGCCTTGCATCTTGCTTTGGCTAACAGATTGTGGCAAAATGACGGTGTGCCAGTGTTCAATCTGGACTCCAAGAAGCCTTGAAATACTCACCTACTTTCTTGGAGCCTGCAATGGCCCCGTGATGAAGCCAAGGCTACTCTGCTGGAAGACGGAAACACATGGTTCAGTTACTCCCATTGGCCCAGCTGATAACTGGCAACCCCAAGATAGCCACCTAAATGACCTGCAGCTGACCTGTGCAGACACGTAAAGAACACAGCTGAGCCCAGGGAAATGGCCCAGTTGAGACCACTTACATTGCTGACCCACAGCGTTAGAAGCTAAATATGATTGCTGTTTTAAGCCACTAAATTTTGGGGTGATCTTTTCACAGAAAGAGATAAGTGATACAGGACCCGTGGGATTAGGTGAAAAAGAGCAGCCTGCGTCCAGGGAAGGCCTGAGCTGTTGGTAAGGGTAGGAGCTGAGAGCCCAGAGTTCCCTGAAACCAGGAAGCCTCAGCGTCTAAGCCTTACCTTGAAGGCCCCCTGGAAATTGGACCCACAATCAGATAGGTAGGGGAAGCACTTGGGGCAGAGCTACAGGAGAAATAGGACCAGGACACTCAGTTACCGTGGGGAGTAAATAAAAGTTTAATAATGGTAAGGAGCAGGTTTGTGCATGTAATCTCTCCAGAGACTGTCTTCTTCCAGATGCTTGGCCTTTGCTGCATCGCTGGGGTGAACTCCCCGTGAGATAAAATCCTGATTCATTAGCATTAGGTCTCCAGGGAATTCCGCCAAGTGTAGAAGATTTCGGTTTGTGAAGCCAGTGATGGACCGTTCCATTTTCTTGGTGGGGAGGAATGGCTTCCTATCATTTGGTTGGTATGCTGAGCATCTTTTTGGTTTTTTGGACCTAAAAATGACATTCATTTTTATTTCTTGTTTTTTCGTGTTTTTGCTCTCCGTCTCATCTCTCTCCTCCTGCTTGGCATCACTGTGGTCTTGAGTGGCACCCTCCTCCTCCCCGTCCTGCCCCCGCCGCTCCTTGTCTTCCCGGGCCTTGTCCTTTGCCGTTGGGCTCAGCCTTGCTCCAGACAGAGCAGAAGAGCTCCTAAATCTTTCGGTGTAGGGTAGAAGCTGCTTATTTCTCAGGGCTTGAGCAAGCTGCATCCGTGCTACGTGTCTGTTGACGCTGAGCCTCTCTCGCCGGGGCATTCTGAACTCCTCCGGGCACACGATCACCTGTGCCGTCCATATTTTTTCTAGGGGCCCGCAGGTGGCACATGGAGGGGAATGTTGTTTTTTATATTCCAGTGCCCGTTTGTAGTCTGAGGACAGCAACTGTAGCTTCTTGAGCATTTTCCGTTCTTCCTCTTGTTTGTAAGTCAGAAACCTTCTTGACGCTACGGTGTGTACACCACCTCGACGCTGACAACGGAGAGGGGATTGTTAAAATCTCAACAGGTCAAGGGCGGAGAGCACCCACAGAAAGGATTATCTGGTGGCACCCCTCCCCCCATTCATTGCTCAGTGTGTCTGAAACTCTGTGTGCTGGGAAAGAAGATGGAGCTCTGGGGTCAGACAGATCTGGGTTCAAATCCTAATTCTCTCTCTTACCTACCATGAATCTGAAAGACTTTCACTGACCCTTCAATGAAAACTAGTGCCAGGGTAGGGCTCAAGGAATAGCAGCCTCCATCATTCACCACCACTTACTGTTATACTCCCAATGGGACCTGAGATAAGAGAGTTTTCTGCCGTGCAAGTGTGGAAGCCAGCTCAAGGCCACTGCGGGCGCAGGGGTGGGGGGTGACTTATGTCTCTATTACTGCGGGTCTTTGAACCTCTGTCTCCCCCTAGCCTAACTGCCTGTCTTCAGTGGGGCCTCCCTGTGTATAAATTTCAAGGAACTTACTAGGATCTCTTTTTCCAAGGGTGAGTATTTTCCAAGGGCAATGCGTGGATCTGATTTGTAGAATTTGGTCCATATCCTGAAAGGCAGAGAAGTAGGTGTATCAGAACTCGAAAAAGGGCCTTCCTGGTTTCCCCTTCTGGAGTGGAAAACCTCATAAAGGGCAATTCTACATCAGTCTGGCCAGGAGCCCTGGGACCGTGAAGCCACGGGCTGAGCTCCTCCACTTGGCCTCCTTCTGAGATGGGGTGGGAAGGGAGGGACCCGAAGCACAGGCTGCCCTCACCCCGGCAGTGACTCAGAGCACTGATTCCCTTGGCAGCACAGGGAGTCTTGATACTGAAAAACATCGCTCCTGTTAAGTGTTCTGACTGGCATTCCACTGTTATTTGACTTCCCTCTGCAGTCTTCCTTCCTTGGGTCCCTGAATCTTTGGCCCTCTGGTTCCCAGCCTTCTGATAGCCATTCTCCCATTCTCTGATCATACTCCGGCAATCGGCTAAGATGGGAGGTGTCAATACTTGGAGTTTCTTTCTCAGTTTAGTGGGAACCCAAGGGACAGTCACAGACTTTTCTTGCATCATAACTGCCAACTTGGGAGCTATTGTGAGGTCTGGGTTTAGGCATCCAATGATCCCCTGAGGCAAAACAGGCACAGACCACCCTGTCGGAGTCCAGAGGAGTAGAGTGGGTAGGGTGTGGCTGGGGGAAGATCTGACCGTGGCACTGTCACTCACAAGCCCATAAAGACTGACACTCAGCTGAAGTCTCTCTCTGGTATTTGCTTGCCTCTCCAATCCCAGTTCCACGGTGTCCAGCAGGACACTCAACCCAGAGTCCTTAGAAGCAGCTCCCCATGGCTCGGATACCTCTCTCTCCTTAGGAACGTGCGTGTCTTTCATGATCCAGTTCAACTGCTACCCCCTCTGCAGCCTTCCTTGAAGAATAAATCATTCCTCTGTCCGGTCCTCACAGTACTTCCTGTATCCTGCTATGGTGCTCTGCCACATTTTGACTTGGTTGTCCAATAAGTCTGTCCCCTCTACTCAAAAGCAGGAACCAAGAGCATCTTATCCTTTGCAATGCTGTTGCTCAGCATGGGGCCTGGTGTAGAGCAGACGCCCAGTGTGCTGACTCAGCAAACAATCATCCTGGCTTCTGGCCAAAGGTGGGGTCAAGAATTTGCTGATGGAATGTATATCAGCCCAGCCTCTGCAGAAAGTAATTTAGCAATATAAATCAAAAATTACAAATGCATATACCCTCTGACCCAGCAGAGTTGGTCAACACAGCCAGTTCAGGATAACAAACCTAAGGGCAAACTCAAATGTCCGTTAACAGGAGATTGGTTAGAGAGTTGTGGTTCACCATAGAATGGAATACTGTATAGGACAGGTAGAATTACATGAGTAATAAAGATCAAGAAAGGAAGACCTTTGTATATATGGGAATAACTCCAAGGAGTATTGTTAAATGCAAAAAGCAAAAGTGTATGTTGTAGATTACCTTTTTGTATTGAAAAGAAAAACATAAGCATGTATATCTGTATTTGCATAAAGAAACTCTAGAGTAATAGACATATTAAAAAAGTTATCTGAGGTGGGTAACTGGCAGATGAGGAAGTTGTGGGAATGAGCCTTGCAATCGTATACATTATTCGTCTTGAATTTCGATTCATGTGAATGTTATTACCTATTGAAAAAATTAAAAGGTAACAGCACCTCGTGGAAGAGGGTTGCCATGGCATCTCTGACAAGCATTGGTGCTAAAACTTTCCTTTGCCCCCACTGAGAAATCCCAAGTGAGGATGTTTAGAACTGGGTCCTTTGCTGGTACCCGTGTCAGCCATCTAAAACATGACAGTGTGCTTCCTGTTGACATGAGCAAGTTCATTTATCTGGAATATCTGGAAATCAGCAATGTGCACCTCTGAACACTAAAGAAATTGCCTCCTGCACTGTATTCATTGCTCTACACTCGCTGCTAATTCAGAGTGACTTGCACAAACCACACAACACCTGGTACATTGAATGCACTCAACAATTATTTGTGGAACAACCAATGATGGAATATTATTTACCTATCAAAAATCTAGTCTTTGAAAAATTTCCAATAATACGCTCATGACGTAATGTGATGTATAAAAAAAGGCAAAATACAAAATGTATAGAGGATGAACTGCATGCTATAAATAAATATGCAAGAGGGAAAAAAGACTAGAAGGAAATACACAGAAACACCCACAGTGGTTATTTCAGGCTGTGGGCTGATGGTGGATATCCTAGGGCTGACCATGTACCAGCAACCTGGTTGTCTCCAAATATTTCAATAGGGAAGCTGTTGCCCATCTCAAAAGATACAGACACGAAAGGGTGCCATAGTTAAGACCTGGCTCCTCCAGACACCATGAGAAAGGAGGGTGAGGAAGGGCACCTTGCCAACTGTACCTGGAAGGGTTGTCACCATGGCAATAGATTTCGACACTGTGAAGAGATGAATTTTTCTCTCACTTGGTAAACTCCTGCTTTTAGCTTACTTCCTTCTCCTACTGTCTCTCATTTCCATTCTGAAGTTATTGCCCCTAATCATTTTTACATTAGGCTTTGTTCTCAACTATTCTCCTCACTTTTTGTGAGGTTTTGTTCTCACTTTCATTCAGTCACCAACCTCATGTAGCTTCATTTTCAACTTCTCCTCTTTCCCTGAGGAAATCTATCATTTGAGCCCTTTACATTTTACCTTCATGTTTATTCTATTTCTTTGCCTGGAGCCTTTACCTTTTATATGCATTTCATCTATTCTTATCCAACTTTGAACACTTTTACCCACCCTATTAGTTATCTGTTTCTTCATAGAAACAGAACCAATAGGATATGCATATGTCTGTGTGTAAATAGATCTAGATCTAGGTAATTAGAGAGAGGATAGATAGAAATTTATTTTAAGGAGTTGGTTTACAAGATTACGGAGGCTGGAAGGTCCAAAATCTGCAAGGTAGGCCCTCAGGCCGGAGACCCAGGGAAAAGCCCACCTTGCAGTCAAGTCTGCTAGCAGAAATTCCTCTTCAGGGACACATTCTTTGTTCGAGCCAGGCCTTCAACTGATTGGGTGAGGCCCACCCACATTATGGAAGATCATCTGCTTTACTCAAAGTCCACTGATTTAAATGACTAATCTCACCCCCAAAACACCCTCACAGAAACATCCAGAATGATGGATCAGACCAAAACACAACTAAGCACCATGGCCCAGCCAAGATGACACGTAAACTTACCCATCAAACCTACTTATATTTAACAGGTTTTAAATGATTAGATTAAATGGTTTAATATCAGGTTTTTAGCCTTTGTACATAGTTTTCCTCACTTTTGAACTTTCTGTTAGTAAATCCATATGGCATGTATTCTTCTGTGTCTGATCTTTTCACTCAACATTATGTTTTTCAGACTCTCTTATAGATATACTTGGCTTTAGTTCAGCCATTTTCATTGGCGTTTAGCATGACTGTGTTTTGATTTATTCATCAGTCTTCTGTTGCTTACATTTGAGTTTTTCCTGATTTGGGGAGCATTCCTGTCTCCTTGGGGTTATGTATGCGTTTTTCTGTTGGGTGCCTACCTACCTACAAGTAGAATTGCTGAGTCCTAGGGTATATGTAACTTCAATTTTCCTAGAAAACTCTCAGCTCTATTCCAATGAGTATCTACCAGTTCGCACTCCCACCGGTAATATATGAGAATGCCCTCTTGCCAACACTGGTGGGTGTGTTGGGGGATTTCATTATCACTTTAATTTGCATTTTTCTGGTTAGAAATGTGGTTGAACACGTTTTCTACTGGCTGTTGAGGTAACCCATTGTGAAATGTCTATTCAAGTCTTTTGCCCATTTCTTCAAATAAACTTTTGTGTTTTAATGGATATGTAGGGCTTCCTTATATATTCTTCATATAAGCCCTTTGCCAGTTAAGTACGTTGCAGATATCTGCCCCTGCTCTTAACTTGCGCCTCTCCTTTCTAAAGGTGTATTTTATACCAGCCACACTCCAACTGTATCAGTCTTTCCCTTGCTAGTCAGCATTTTCCATGTCTTTTTTAAGAAACCATTTTGTCTCCCAAGTAGGAACTATATCCTCCCATATGATATTATGTATGTATCTGTAATGATATTCTGTACTATTCTCTAAAACCTTTGTTTTTTTATCCTTTGAAGCTTCTTAACTTCCTATTCTCATTTTATTTACTTGAATTATTTTCTGCCTCTTTTTCTTCAAGTATATTCTCCAAATTACTTTTATAATGGCTATCAAGAACTGGTGCTTTTGTGTGTGTGTGTGTGTGTGTGTGTGTGCGCGTGCGTGTGTGTGTGTGCAAGTCATATACAAAAAGACCAGGGCTCTCCCCTCTGGCTGCACACGTCCCTGCCTCCTGAGCCCTGGCTCCCTCTGTCGGCTCCTGAGCCCTGGCCCTCTGTCATCTCCTGAGCCCTGACCCCTGTCATCTTCTGAGCCCTGGCCCTCTGTCATCTCCTGAGCCCTGGCCCTCTGTCAGCTCCTGAGCCCTGGCCCTCTGTCATCTCCTGAGGCCTGGCTCCCTCTGTCATCTCCTGAGCCCTGGCCCTCTGTCATCTCCTGAGCCCTGGCCCTCTGTCATCTCCTGTGGCCTGGCTCCCTCTGGTGGATCTTGAAGCCCATTGAAAGAGGGCTCTCCAAAGCCCCATCAGCCATCTCATCTCCAGGGTTTACTCTCTGTAAATAGCAGTTTATGGGAATGCTGCTTCTTTCCAACACTGCATAATATCCCGACTTTATACTAGAAGCTGTGCATTTTTAAATCATAGCTCCTTCTACAGAACATTGGCTTTAAGCAGACCAGCCTCTTGGAAAGATCTTTTAGGCCAAAATTTCACCAATGTTAATGTGCCTATAAATTTCCTGTTAAAATGCTGAGTCTTATTTGGTAGATCTGGTTTGGGACCTAAGAATCCGCACCTCTGACAAGTTCCCAGGTATTGCCAGTGCCACTGGCCCAAGAGAAACAAATTGGCAGTCCAGGGTGTGGGACTAAGTAACATGAGGTGCTTCTCCAAGTGTGCCTTGTGGATCAGCAGCAGTGGTGTCCCTGGGAGCACGTTAGAAATGCAGGATTTGAAGACTACTGAGTCACCGTGTGCACTGCAGCAAGTCCCTAGGCGAATTGCATGTGCAGTTAAATGAGAAAGGCAGCTGGTTGGCCCTTTGAGGAATCAGTTGTCGCACGACCTCCACACTGATGCTCATGGGGTCCGCCCAGAGGGCCTGTGGCCAGGATTCACACCGCCGTCTGCCAAACTGCTTCTAAAATCCACTTTCCAGCTCCCTCAGTTTCCCCCCTCTTGGCATAGGGATTGAGAAGGTGCTGGCGCCCAGCAGAGTTGTTACAAATAGTTACTTAGGAATGGGGTCAGCTGGGCTCCTTCTGGAGCCTCTTTGGAAGGTCCACCCAGAAC